CAGTGGATTCTGTGGTGCGATAGACGTGGAGGTGAAAGACAAGGGCTGACTGACAGCTCACTGACAGGCACAGCCCGTGACCACATGTATCATTTTCTAGTGATAGGACGCCAAACTTCGGGGAAATGGCTCGATTTCCCATTGGTGCATATTGACAGTCAGAACATCGTCAATGAGATGGATGCAGATTGGACGGGCTGCTATCCATATATGTTGTGGTTTGAGCAAAGAAACCGGCTGCCGGCCCGTGCGGAGCTTGCGCACTTAGTGAGGGTGTTCACGAGCGATGTCTAGACCCACATACAACGAATCAAGAGGCGGGTTGGAGGCGGGCTGCGAAATTTGAAGCAAATGTAATTCAAACATTGAATTCTAAGGGTGCACGAAGCTGAGTGAACTTGACCTCGAAGCTTGAAGCTTGAAGGGTTGATTCATTCAAGTTCCATCTGAAGCTTGGCAGATTGAATAGAAGTGGTATAGATATTGGGCCTAGGTGTATGCCGACGAAAACGAGAAGGCGGATGTATCATGTGGTGCACGGCGCACAGCTGCTCTCATTTACCATCCTACATCTCTGAAGCAAATTATGATGGGGGTCGATTCCCTGCATCCGCATGTGAGCCGCGCCTTGATTTTTTTACTTCTCTCTCCAAGGATTTGGCTACCCACGCTTTAACCATCTCCTGTTGCGGAACCAGAATTTCAACCACTCAGGCGACAATATTCGACGCTTTGACCCCCCGTGAGACCCATTTGGACGCGTCGCTGCCGAGCCGGGCAGGGGATGGGAACAACTTTGATGGCCCCGCTGTATTTATTACTATTTTAATTCAAACCTTCTCTTGAGGTTGGATAAAACTTTATGGTACTTACAGTTGGTGGGTTATGAGAGGGAGGAAAGCGGTTATGGTGCACGGTGCACGATTGCTGTTTTCAGGCTAGCATTTCGGAAGCGGGGTTCGACTCCCCGCGTCCGTATGAGCGAGCCAGTATTGCCGTGATAATTTGTTTATCCCACTGTGACTCGTGTTCAAGCAATTGCGACCGAAACCTGCCTGCACGATGCTTGAAAGTTGATCAGTCCAACTTGACTTGAATGAAGACCATTTGTGCTTTATCAAGCACAGGCTGTGACATGAACTGGTACGGTTATTGGGTTGAAGTGTGGGAGAAGGGATGTAGATGTGGTGCACGCTGCCCTCGATAGGTTGTGTAGGTCCAGGTGTAAACTGACAACTGATTGGGGTTCGATTCCCCGGGTCCGTATAGGGCGTGTGGCTAGAGTCTTTTGTTATCCCAGGCCAAACAAGGCAACCGTTGCGATTCGAACACAGAATTCCAGCCAGGAGATACAAAAGGGTAACGTTGGGTGAAATTGAAGTTAGAGTTGTGTTGAATTATTACTCCAATTTGAACCTCTCAAGGTTGGATAAGAACGGTAGGCTCAATGGTTTTAGGTAAGTATAAAGGGAGGTATGTGGAGTGTCGGAAAAACCGAAATTCGGTGACAAGGAAGTATCTGTACTAAGCATGGCTGATCAGGCCATCGGGATTTTGGGGGCCTGAACATGCTCAATAATTCTAAATAACCGTCAGTAGGCACTGATCAGCCTGACGAGCCTGATTCAACATATCAGTTCCGGTCAGCCATGATCAGGGTCCACCAGCGGGGATAACAAAACTTCTTACCCTCTTACTTGAGGGCTCCTACCATCGTAACCAACTCACTTATACTACCACTACTAAGACATGAACTATATCATTATTATTTAACTATCTACATGAACTTCTCGAACTAAGGTTGAAATTCTAAGCTTGTTATTGCGGTTCACAGTGGAAGGACATGAGCTGAGTTATGTAACTTGCTCGAGCCACCGGGTTCAGCTTCCAGGGCTTGCCAACTGAGTTCTTGGGGCCACTCCGAAATTCTTTCTGTGCAGAAAATGACATGTATAGGATGCAGGATTGAGGGCAGAAAGGTTAATTGGTACAACAAGAGGGGGATCTGACCGAGCCTGATCAGTCCTGATGCTGCCTGATGAGTTGCGCAGCTGAACCTGACCAGCCCTGATGAGACCGCCAGCGCTGATCAGGCAAATTGGGTTTTTCCGACAAGGTGGTGCGTGGTGTACAATCGCCCACGATTAGTAAAGCCGTGAACGGAAATTAAAATCGTTGAAGCAGTTCAACGGGCTTCGATTCCCCGCTTCCACATACACTTGTTCGCCCAGTCTTTTTATTTTCGTGTCTCTGGATCTTCCTGCTCGGCATAAAGGTCAAGTCCAAGTCAAGCGTCTTCGAAGTCATTCATTCCGCACCTCCACGGGGACAGACAAAGCGCCGAGCAGTCGTGAGTAAATCATTGCACAATTCAACCAAGTGTCATAGGGCCCGCCTGATCTATACAAAGCTGCGAAAGAAAATGGCAGGATTATTGGGTTGAGGTATGGGTGGAGGAAGGCGGATGTAGTGTGGGTGCACGACTGCCCTCACTTGCAGGAGTCACTTCATGTCAGCAAGCAGTTTGATGGGGTTCGACTCCCTGCGTCCGCATGTGCCGTCAGCCTAACACTTTTCACACTGTCTTCTCCTCTCCAACGACAGTTCATTCCCGGAACTGACACAACTTTGAGTATAGCGGATAGAAAACAACTTGAATTGAACCCCTCCCACGCACCATATCCGGCGCTTTGACCACCCGTGCGACCATCACTGAACTCGGCATTACGTTCTCTGAACTCTCTCCCTCCCCATCTCCCGTTTTCGGTAACCTGGCGACTGGCTCGACGCGGGGCTCAAACTTGGAAGGGTTTGGGGCAGAGACCAGCTTGAAGCAAGTCACTTGGGACTAGGACTTCTACTTACCTCGGAGTCCTCTTCGGCGCGACTCTTCGGTTAGTCCTCTTCGGCGCGACTCTTCGGTTCAAAAAAACTCCTGGGCCACCCTCATCTGCGGACACTCGGCTGTTGGTCGTGACAATTCTGGGCTGGGTGGCGCCAATTATGAATGCGGACCGCGCTCCCCGTGAACGCCCGGTTTTGCAGCTGCTTTGGGTTCGCCGGAGAATGGGTTTAGCAGTCCATCTTTCGTGCGTGCTCATTTTATTTCTTGTTGCATTGAGATCTGATACAGGGTGCAAAGCGATAACCACTACGGCTCTGCACGCGTACTCCGTACTTCCAGAATAGCGTCTTGCCTTGGCTTTGGGAGGGACTTGTAATTACATTCGGGTGGTGTATATCCTCGTTCCTTATTTTATTGCCATCCTGTATTCCGGGAATACCGTCCCTCGAGCGCGCGTTATTCATTTCCGCAACGACCAGTTTGGGGCTTGACCTTGTCCGGTTATTCCCCTCGTTGCCCGTGCGCACATCGATGTGTTTGTTTTCTTTGATTCCCCCATCGCGCGGTGTGTGCACATTGTCTGCTTACACGTCGACGCTACGCACCACGAGATGCCGCCGCGTCCCACTTCTTGCGCCCTCCGTGTACGGGCTCCTCTCGTCTTATATCTTCCCCTCTCTCCCGCTCATTTCCTCCTCATTATATATTGCTACTTTCCGATTCAACACATTCCACCCCATCTCATCTTGCTCTCTCTTTAACCTGGCTATGAAGTACATTAACTGACTGACGCTCTTACAGAAATCTCCACTCGCCTGAATATGACGGAGAACCCGCGAGGCTCGTAGCCCGCTGGAGGCCCGAATACGCCGACTCGAGGATGCGCAGGGAATAGTAGAGATTGCGATGGTGGTTAGGGGTGAGAATGGAAGCGGATTTTTTCGGTGGTCTTTGGCGTTTATTTTGTCGGAATGTCGAGTCTTGCACCAATGGAACAAGCACTGCTCATTTTGTATAATGGGGCAAACATCGTAGATTAACCCTGCCTGTGATGCACTATAACCGATGTCAACGTAGAATGTCCGTAGTGGACAAAACACAAACACCGGTTGAACACTGGACAGCTCAACTTTCAACCTGGATTAAGTGTGCTGAGGGCTCGTTCATCAAAAAGCTGTAAATGAAATGGGTTATGTAGAGGACTCAGATTTGAAGCAGTTGCCTAGGGTTCGATTCCTCGCGTCTGCATGTGATACCTGCGTCCATCTTTTTTTATGCGTGCCCGGCCAAGTTAGTACCAAGCTATCTGGATTTATGTAAATTATGACAGGAGGAAAGCGGACGTAGTGCACGGTGCGTGACTGCTCACAAGAATTCGGGTCGTTGGTGCCACCCGAAGTAGTCCAACAAGGTTCGATTCCCCGCGTCTGCATGTATCGAGCCCCGAACTTTTGTTTTTCTCATTCCCAACAATTTTGGCACCAGGCCTTTTGAGTACGGGCTAGCTTTCTCATTGCAGACAGCCACACTCAATATTTGCTTGATATTTGTTGCTTTGGCCGCCCGTGGGACCCATTACCACCAACAACGGCCCTAGCACTCCGCGAAGGTGTTCGGGTCTTCTTGATTTGAACCTTCTGAAGGTTGAAAAAAAATCGTACATCTATCGGGTTTGGGTTCAACAGGAAACTTGAAGTGGACGCGGTGCATGGTGCAGGAGCCCACTTCGGCGCCGAGGAATAAACAGTTCACCGGCGTTCGGTTCCCTGCATCCGCATGGATTGCGCCGAGCCGGCAGATTTTTTGTTGATTCCTGCCTACCTCCTTGAGTGAATATAGTGTCTCGCCAAGCCTGTCTCCGGCCAAAGGGAACAGATTTCCCGGTGAGCCAACTTGGAAAAAGAGGAAGCACTGAATATCAACATGGCAAGTTGAAAGAAAGAAAAAAATTGAACACGTATTCAGCGGCATTAACTTACCGTGCTTTCGACGCAGCACATACCCCGCAAAGTCGAGCACTGTTTCCACTTGGACGGTTCAAATTTGAACTCAATCAATCGAAAGTTGAATCCAAACCATCGATTTGGTTCAATGCGGAAGCCGTGAGAGCAGAATAAATAATACAGTTATTGGGTCAAACCACCAGAGCAGACAAGCGGACGTGGTGCAGGGTGCACGATTGCCCTCAATATATGAGCTTAGCGCAGGCTGTTGAAGCAGTCCAACGGGGTTCGATTCCCCACGTCCGCATCAGGAACCCATCCCAATAAGTGTTTTTCTTCCCCGCTCAAGCCATATTCGTTCCTTCTGGTCTGCCCGAGGACTCTGACCATGAATCCCTCTTCATGGCACATTAATCAACAGCAGATCCCCCACACTCCGCAAATCATAATGGAGCTCGTTCAATGATCGATCCAAACAAACATGGAACCAGCGAAATCGAATAATACGGTCATTCGAAACCACGAGAAGAATTCAGGAAAGCGGACGTAGCGCAGCCTGTGCGAGTAATATTGCTCTCAGTATTTCAACTGAGCCCTGACGTTAAAGCTGGCAGTCGAACGGGGTTCGACCCCCGCGTCCGCATGCGAGTATTCGGAGCGAACTTTTTTTGTCATTCCCAACGATATTGGAAGCAGCCTTTTTGAGATAGGCGCATTTTGCGTTGCACACAGTCACTCAATATTTTGCTTCGCCCCTTTGACCGCCCGTGGGACCCATCACAACTCCGATCACAACTCCCACGTCTTCGCTTCCACCAACTCTTCCCTCGCCCACGCCGTCTCCAGCCTCTGAACTCACAAGCATTGAAGCATCCTCGGCGCGGTGGTGTCCACTGCCGACCCCGGTTCCATTCGACGAAATTCAGCTTGATTTGCGGACACTCGGGAAACTTGCCACTTGGTGGTCCACTGGTCGTGACAATGCTGGATTGGGTGGCGGGCGCAGTGGTATGATATTACGAGCCAGACTTTGCGCCCGTGCGCGTAACAGTGCCATTCTGCAAGTCACAATTCCTTTGAGGGTGGAGGAGAGCGGATATGGCGCGTAGGATTTAGCGGTGTGTCGCGTATCGTATGTGCGTGCTCACTTTTTTGGGCTGTGCATTGGGTGCTAATACGGGGTACAGAGGATACATACTGGCTCAATACGGGCGCACCCGCCTCACATGCTTCACGATTGAAATATTAACGGCGGCACTGGGACTTGCATGTATCGTGCGTGCTGCTCGATTTTTCTTTGGATATTGTACTAATAGAGGGCGCAGGGCGATAACTACTGCCTTCACACGCGCACGCTCGTACTTCCACACTAACGTCTTGCCTTGGCTTCGGGAGGGCCTTGCATTTGGTGCGTATCCCTCGCTCCTTCCGTCTCATTGTCTCTCTACCACAGCCATTTTCTTGCTGTGCGGCGTTCTGTCCCATCCTGTGCCTGCCCTCGTTGCCCGCGCGCGCACCGCGCCTGCAATCCCCTCGTGGTACCGCGGTATCTGCCCACTGCGCGCAGCGCGTCCCACTCCTTCCCTTTGCGTCCTTCTGCGTCCATCGTGCGCGCGCCTTCGATTGATATCTTTCCCTCGTCCTTCGAATTTCGACTTTCGACACCTTGCTCCTATTTCCCCTCATTTCATCTTCCTTTTACTTCCTCTAACCGAAATGGAGAACTGACGCTCTTGCAGAATAACGCCGTCTGCTCCACGGACCTCTTCGCCCTCTTCCTGAATATGCCGAATCGTCCATGAGCAGGATCATATCATCGTACCGGGGTGGATGAACTTCCGCTGCTGCTTAGGGACGTGGAAGCGAGGTAAGCCTCTGCGTCGCTTTTTCTATCGCTTTTGGCATTCCATTTTTAGGGCTTTTTTTTGGCTTTTAGCGGTGGGGACGCAGTTGCGGCGCACCGGTGCGATGCGAACGTACAACGCCGTGGCCTTTCACTCGGGCCCGTATGACGTGGACGTGGTGCGTGTCGGTGCGATTCGGATGCCGTGTGGTCTTTGGTGCGGCGGTGCGGATGCAGAACACGGTGAACTTGTTGCGCAGATGGGGTGGACGTGGACGTGGAGGGCGCGCTTGTTTCGATTCGGTGGGATTTGTGCGAACGCGATGGAGTTGTGCGGACGCGGTGATCTTTCCGCGCGCGGGTGCGATGCAGACGCGGTGGAGTCATTGTGCGGATGGGGACGCGGCGCGGTCCGGACGTGCACACAGGGTCGGCCGGGGTGGGCAGTCTTTCGCGCTCCGCGGACGTCAATGTGAGGCGGATGCGGTATCTTCCTGCACACGGGTGCGATGCGGACGCGCTGGTGGTGCATGCACCCTCGGCGTTGGTGCTGGCGATGCGGATGGACTCGGCCGCGGCGGGCGTCGGTGCGGACTTGTGCGCTCATTGGCATACTCATGTTTATGGGCCCGGTGTCGGGGTCAGCGAGCGCGAGGATGGGGTGCATCTGCACATATTTATTAGCGCATATTCGTCGTCGGCGGGAGCGTGCGCCGGCAGGCGTACATAGGTCTCCGTTTTACCTCCCCTACCAATCATCCATTCGTTTTCCCACTTTCATTCAATATTTCATCCATTCGTTCATTCGATATTTCAGTTATCCATCTTCCTCTCTTCTCCCCTTCTGCCTCCGCCTGACACTAACAAATTTACCTATCCACACAGATGTCTCGACGCTCGTCGTCCTCTTCGCCGGCTTCTCCGACACGGCCCTCGAGGACCCTCATCGAATCACCACCGACCCTCAACGTCCTCCTCATCGTTGCGCTCGCCTCGCGGCCGTCAAGACCCGCCTCGTCGCCTCCGCGAATCTGAGGTCCGTCGAGTTTTTACTTCCCTTGTCATTCTTTTCCTTTTCCCCCAGCTGTACGAGGAGGAGGCACTGGCTAGTTGGCTAGATGCACTGGCGGGATCGGGGTGCAGCGAGGCGCGGATGCGTGCCCACACGCTCGTATTTCGGGGCTTGGAGAGTCGTGTGCGTACCCGTTGCTCGTTGTGGTGGAGGTTCTCAGTGGTGCGGAGGGACACGGCGGTGTGGTGCGGAAGGACGCGGACGGACGCAATGGGGCGCTTTTGTGCACTCACACTCCGCGGTGGTGCCCTTGAGAGGTCCGCGTCGGTGTGATTGGCCCGGGCGGAAGCACTGCGTCGGTGGACGGGGATGTGTATGCGGCAGCGGCGGCGTCTGTACGATGCGGAGCCGCGGTCATGCGTCGTGGGGAAGGACTCGGTGTGCGTCGATGTTATTGGGAGCTCCGTTTAGGACCTGCGCCCCAATCGGTACTCGGGGAGCAAGTCGGCAGTGCGGGGACACTTGCATCGGTGGGTGCGATGGTGTTGCGGCGGGTGTGATTGCGTCGGTGGGTGCTGCGTCGGCGCGTGCGATTGAGAGGGTGTCGATGAGTGCGATTGAGCGGTGTTGCTGGGGACGCGGGATGGTGAGCGTGCGGGGGTGCTACTGGAGCGTATCCCTCGTCCGCGCATGTGACGCGTGCGGTCGCAGCGGGAACGTGATGCGCTTCTGTGCGTGTCGGGGTGATGCGGAGTCTGGCGACGTTACTGCGTGCGGTGCCCACGGCCATTTCTTTTTCTCCTGGTTTCTTGCACGAGGAGCGGAGGAGGAGGAGGGCCCGCATCCCGGCATCCTCGCATCCGCCTCCTCTTCTTTTCTTCTCCCTCGCGTGGCGATGGGCAGATCGCGGTACACACGACCCGGCGGGAACGGGGAGCGCTCGGTAGTACTGGTGCAGCACGAGGTTTGCAGCCGTTCGTAGTGCGCGTCTGTGCCGTATACTGCCGGACGCATGAGGGCGACAATTCTGCCGGTAGTGCTCGCCCCGTGCGCTGCGTCGTTGCTCTGTATGATGCAAATGGGGTCCGAGTCGCGTAGCGGGTGGGCGTTCCCTCGCTGCGAATTGTCCAGCTTCTTCAAGCTTGACGCGTCGAGGTTGCCGGGTGCTTCTCGCCTTGGGCCCGCTTCGTGCCTCTGCCGCTGCCAGCCTGCGGATTTGTCTGGGCTCGCTCCCCGGGCAGGGGGTTATCTGTGCGCACGCCCTGTACTTCTCTCGCAGAGTGCTTGCGCTGGACCCGCACCTCCGAGTTCTCATTCTTTCCTGTCTCCTTCCCCGCTCCCCGCAGTCCTACTGCTTCTGCCCCTCGTGACTTCCTCTCACTGGGCATTCGCGCGCACCCCCTGCCTCGGTCTTCCTCGCTCCGCGTCCCCTCGTTCCCCCACGCTCGCAGCCGCGGACGACGACGCGCACGCCTTCCCTTCCTTCCTCCTTTATTTTGTGTCTCTATGCTAGGCTTTCCCTTCGAAGATACTGACCATTCTTCTCATTTACAGAGCCATCCCTGTACACCAATGGCGACGACAGTATTTCCGCCGTCGAGGACGCCGCGGGGCAATCGCGCTATTGGATGATTGAGGTATGTTCCTCCCTCCGTTTGGCACGTTTCCTTGTTTCGAATGGGGGGGTGTCGGTGCGGGGCGGATGTGTTTTTTATTTATTTCTCTTCGACGGCTGCTCGTGGGGGACAAGGCTGATACTCTGGAGGTGCTCCTCTTCGCCGCGAAGCGAGGATGGAAGGTGGTGGCGCTTGAGGTCGACGCGTGGGTGGACTCGGGTGCGCGCGCCCGAGGGCGCGGTCACGGGGATTGTGCAGTATGATGTCGTTTTTCCACGGGCGGTGTAAGTAGAAGGATGCATTTTAGTAAGCCACAATTTCATTCGATCCTGTGTTCTCTGCCTCGAGTGGGTAGCATCCAGCGAAAGATGAAGCCTGCAACCTCATGGCCAGTAAATATTTTCCATCCTTGTTTTCGAGGTGTCCAACGTACAATGCTGTTGAGGACAGGTTATTGAACAGCAGAAGTGTGCCTGGTACTGCCTCCAAGAATTTGACGCAAGCCTCCCGGCAATAAAATTCATTTTTACGAAAAATGCAAACAACGTGTTTGTTGCAGCACATTTGGTCCGATTTCCCTTGACGCGATGGTCTCGTGATTCTTGATTTTGACCTTCCTGCGACCTTCACTCGACCGCTAAACTTCCTCTTTTCGTTGTCGAACCTTACAAACTGACTGGAAGTTTGTCCCTGTTCCTGGTTTGCTTATCTGGCCTTTCTAGATCAGCTCTGAGGGAAAATCTGGCACCTTTTGCGAATGCCCTCTTTTTCGAGTCTGGAGGCTACGATGCCGGGGTTAGTTATTGTATTCTCTCCATGACAAGAGTTGACCATTC